AAGTCACTGTTATGAGGGGTACGGGGTTTGCCTGACCGGCGGGTCTTCTCAATCGGTGGCTGATAGAAGCCATAAAATAGTTGCCCCACTTTATTGTATAAGTTTGTCAACACCTAAAACCATACAATACATCATTAATACATAATTTTAATGTTAGATTTGTAAAAAAACTAATTTAATGTCAAATACTTTGCAAACTTCTTCGGGATACCACATGGCCTGTTCGTAGCCATCAGTTTTACATCTATCGCATTGTTGGCCATAGAGTTTGAACGCCACGAACCCATTGGAATAATAGGGTGACAACAGATCAAACCAAAACACAACTCTCCCCTTCATTGAAGTCCACCCGTGACCGCATTTCTTCATATCATACAGAGATAATTTACATGTTTAACAAGAATTTAAATAATAATAATATAAATACTGTATATTTAAGATAAGCCTTAATGCTAATTTGTTTTTATGTTTTGATTAATCAAATTTTATAAATGTTTTTATTTATTTCCTAATTAATAACAATAATTTATTTATATAAAAACATTTGATTTGATTATCAATTACTATTTTATCTGTTTTGGTAATGAGATAAAATGAGATGGATATGTGTGTATGTGTTTGTGTATGTGTTAAATATTTGATACTAACTTAATTGAGAGCAACATTTTTGTATAAATATATTTGTAAACATAATATTATGATATATTAGCATAAATTTCTTACATCACAACAGAATCTAACTTTTGCTGAATCGACGAATGTATGCATAGATCGGTTGGCAATGGGTTTGTGTTCGACGGGTTGAAGGATCCAAACTTGTTGGTAGTAATTGGAGAATAAGCGATGAAATTCCGAGAGCCATACCTGTTCCATACCACTGATGGTCATATATCATTACAAAATGATCAGATTTAGTATATTCTTCTACTAATTATTGCATTATTAAAATTTTATTAAAATATTCTTTTGCTGCTTCCTCAAACATTATGAAATTCTTGACAATAATATGTCATTTTATAATTTATAATAATATATAATTACAGTAAATAACACTATAATTAGTCGGCCTTATTTTGGTTTAAAATATGAAATTACATAATAAGTGCACTAAAAATAGAAGTATGTCATCTAATATTTCAGTTATTATAAAGAATTTTATTAAAATTAGTTGCACTTAAATTACTATAAAAATATCATATTTCAGTAAATTATGAATGAATTTAACAGTAATTGAAATATAGTTTCGTATTTCAACAGTAGTTCTCATTGTTAATGTGGAGCCAAAGCTTTTCAATAATATTTTTAGAAATTGTTTAGAGA